ATTCACAAGTCATCTGTCATCTCTTCTTGAATTCTGTATTCTCCTTCAGCTCCACTGCAGCTCTGCCTCTAAAATTATGAATCTTCCTTCGTTGCTATTCTGTTTTTGTTCTCCTCGCTTCCGCGTATTTTCTCCCGAGCGGATATTCCAACTCCCAATTTTCCGTCTTGCCAATACTTTTCATAAGACATAAGTTCGCCACAACAAATCCCCCAAAAACTCCATCTTAATGACCTTGTCCACTTTGTTGTTTCGTTTTCAACGCAAGGGCCATTTACGATATTCTACGTACTGTTTGAAAATCACTTTCCTACACTATTTGTACTATTACTTTTTGCTTTCCACTGTTCACGTTTCATATTGTTGTACATTTTGATCATGCACACTAGGATGCTTCGCGGGCTTCGCAAAAAATACCGTTATTATTATTATTAATTATATCAAATAATCAAATAAAGAAGGCATACAAAGATGGCTGGAATTCTAGCCACCGTCAATCTAAAACTGGTGGCACTGAAAGAGAAAATTAGGTCAGGTCTACACTTCGACGCCGATTACCTCACGGTTCGGTGAGCCTAGGCATATTAGCGTGACTCTTAAGCTAAGAAGGGCTTAAAGCTCGCTGGTTTTACGTACAGAGTTAAAATGGTGGTTCACGATCTGTGTTTCGAAGTGTTGTCGTAATCAGGGGGCAGCAGAAAGATATATAGCTGTACACACATGTGAACCATAAAAATGGCTCATTCCCTGTTTACAGAACTGGCTAGCGAACAGCCGATGCCATTTGCACCTGTTACCCATGCAACGACAAAAACGTGATTGTCCTGGTCCGAGCGAAACGAAAAAGACCTCGTCCAAATGCGTTCAATCCGATGACCCTTCGCTCGTTCTGGATAGCGATAACCAAACCTCAGAGCAACGCGTAGCACAAATGATCGAGAACCAAGTCGATCCAAAAATAATCTACTGTACTATTTTGGCAATAATCAATAAATATATAGGGCAGTCATACCTCTGATAATGAGCTTGATTCACTATCCAGCCAAAATGTTACAAATATTCACAGAAAATATTTTCCAGTAATAAAAAGTAAATGAGAAAATGAGTGATCTGAATTAACTTTCAGATAATTCTAAACCAATAGAAAAATTCTGCACGCTTCAACAGATCAAGCAAAATGATCTTGAGCGCTACAGCCAAAGGAGTTTAATATAACCGAAAGCAACAGCGTCCAATCGAAACTTTGGTCTTAATAAAACAAGAAAAAGCACTATATCCCATTTACATATAAGCGCAAAGCACTTGAAACGTGTGTCCAATAGATATGTTTAACCGTAAAAAAGCTGAAATAGAAGGTTCAGAATAGAAAATTCACCGAAATGAAAACCACTGTGAGAAAGAATGCATGATAGAATAGCGAAGAAAGCTAAGGAAATGCAAGATAATTGAGAGGAATTTTCAGTCCTTTTGACCGTTACAGCGGCCACCAAAATTCCTCCGAGCGGGCAATGTCATCTCAGATAGTCTCTTGTTCAGTATCCCCCTCTTAATTACGCTCTCGAAACAATGGAGTTCACAGGACTTACAGTAGTACGCCTGCACACCCCCAGACCTATCACCCAGGTGCTAGTCTGCTCCTTCCAATAGACACCGGCGACGTACATCTCTTCTTGTCTTGTCGCTACCCGTATACACCACTGCCGTTCTTACGAGTCCATCTCCGTCTGTCTCCACTGCATCCAAGATGCCCATAGGCCATTTGCCACGTGTTATAGTTTCAGGTGCTACCAATACGCTGTCGCCTGTTTTGAAATTGCGATGCTTCGAAAGCCACTTTTTCCGCACTTGCAGGGTTGATATGTACTCCCTCATCCATCGATGTCAGAAGCTAACAGCGAAATGATTGACGTGTCTCCACTGTCCAGCATATCTCTCCGTCATTGAGAAACCTTCTAGGTTTCGATCGTTCTTCGTCAACGACAATAAACTGTCGGAGACTGCTTTTCTTTCCTTATCATCCGATAAGCACGGCATTTGCGGTTGGCTATTCAATATCCTTTCGATTTCTACAAAACAAGTTGACAGCGTTTCCTTATATATTAGCTGTTCTTTTGTCAACACAAGCATTAACCTACGCACGGAGCGGATCATCCTCTCCCATACGGCTCCCCTATAACTTGAGGAAGGAGGATCAAAGAACCATTATATTGCATCGCATGCAAGACGGTCGTTAATCCTGTGTCCATCGCAGCGCTTAATCGTGCCCTTTAGTTCTGATAGAGCACGAAATTTGATCCGTAATCATCATAAATCTCTGAAGGTCTTCCTCGTTTACCAAGGAATCTCAATAGACACAGGATGAACGAATCTGTATTGAGACTGCCCAATATCTCTAAATGCACGGCTCGGGTCTGTAAACACTTAAGCACGCAGCCATATTTCTTTTTCGAACCACAACCCTTGAGAACAAACAAAGATCCAAAATAACCAAATCCTACTGATTTAAAACAGCACCAACCCTTTTGGATCCTACATAGAGTTAGAGGAGTCATCATCTGCTGACCTACAGAAGCTACCATTTTTCGATATACTATGGACCTATTACTCGCTTCACTGGAACGCAAAACATCTCTTGTTGTGTCCCACTGCACGGTCAAAGCTCTCTGGCAACTGGAATAAAATTGAGGCAGTTGAACCAGGTTGGCACTCGTGTTGTCTTCCGAGAGTGATTCTACAAGCTCGAATGGATTAGATGTCTACCTTCTCAGTTTAAAACCGCCTCTTTCCAACAGTTCGGTTATTTCCTCCGCAAAAGGTAAGGCTTCATCACATGTCGTGAACAATGCAAGACAGTCATCAACGTAGAAGTTTTCTTCTATGGCTTATAGCACCGCAAGCCCATAACTACTACCGAATTCTCTTGCAGCCCTGTTCAAGGTAAAATTAGCACAAAACGGTGAAGTTNAGCTGTCATTTGATATTCCTCGGGATCCTTGAGTGAGTCACCCTGTGGCCACCAGAGAAACCTCAAAGCGCCTCTATCATGTTTTGGCACCTTCACTTGCATAAACATCGCTTCTGTCAGCTTTAACAGCTACACATTCTTTACGGAATCGCAAAAGTACACCCACTAAATTTGCGGTGGTGTCTGGACCTTGATAGGGCATGTCATTCAACGATTGCTCCTTGTGTTTGGCCGCGCAATCCAAAACTATACGCAACTTTTCCGTATTTTTGGGTTCAGTACTGCATGATGAGGCAGGTACCAACGCGGATGAAAGTCGCAGTGTTCCCCTGAGCATTTCGCTTCCCTATAGTCATCTTCATCGTCTGTGCGTAACGAAACCGTAGCGCCGCTTCAGGTTGTTCAACTTCGAGAGCGCTGGCGCTGACACCCTTCTTCCATGGCAGAGGGACCAAGAAGTGCTCATTGGACTCTACAAAAGCGATGGTCTTCGTATGGNTCTACGAAAATGCCTCGATCTAATAACTGGGTGTCTGTAAATTCTGCATCGTACATCCGCATTACCTGATGCATTAAATTTGAGACTTCTGCAACCAAGCAGTTGACCGAAACTTGAAGGCCCGAAAATCAACCAACCTAATGGCGTCCGAACTGAATAAGGATTCTTTCATCCGCCGAGCCTTTGGTCGAGTACCCAATGAGCCTCCGGTATGTCGCACCCAATCAATAGCAGAAATTCTCCATCAATGTATTCCACCGAAAGTTCTGCCAAATGGGCCCATTGTTTCATTCAGAAATGTCTCTAACCGGCTTATGAACGAGTAATTCTGGTATAACAACAGCTTGCTCCACACATACTGCTTTTTTCATCTAGGGGCAGTATCTAAAAAGCACTGCTGACAAAGTTTGTCTTGGTTGGTCTACCCATTGTAGTTATTTTTGAATGGTTTCTTTGTTGGTTTAGCCCAAACTGGAGGATTGCACTCGCCTTAATAAGCGTCGTATCCGATCCATTATTTAGCAGGGCATACTCGATAGTATCTTTTAATCGAGCTCTTATTTTGACCGTTAATAATTCCAGACTCACATTCTTGGTACGAAGTCTAGTTGCTCCGCAGTGATCCTCACCGATTGGTTCATGTTGTGTTCTTAGGACCCTCTTGAAGTAACTTGTGATGTCTACCTCCGCAACAACCTACGTCACAAGTGCTCTTATTACTGCAGTCATTCGCCCGATGGCTTCCTTTTAAACACATAAAACACAAACCCTATCTTCGTATCCTGTCCCTTCTTTCTTGAGTATTTAAATCCGAAAAGCTCGAACAAGATGAAACCAGATGGTTTTCAACACAAATCACAGATCGTTGTGTTCGTAAATCGATAATATTCTTAACCGAATTTACACAATATTCAAATGCAGATTGACGCCTGCTTGAAGGTTGTATAGATTGGACGGGTCTATTACTTCTTCTACTTTGGTTGACAAGTTGCCCAAAGCGACTCATTGCTACTCTAGCCATTGCAGATATGCATTCTGTCAGTTCGCTAAAATTTGGCTCCCTTACGTTTTGTGCAATCCAATCCACGGTTCCCGCCCTCTTATGTTGCAGAGAATACGGTAACTCTTTAACTATTTGATCCAACGTGCTAAACGAATTAAGATCAGTCGTGTAACCCATTTGTTCCAGGACGATCATACAGCTTTCCATTCGAATAGCTAGACATGACAAAACATCAGCGTCTACGCCAATCATGTTTAGACCCTCCAACAATTCATCTAAAAGTGAGCGCGCTACCTCTGTAGAAACCACAGAGAGAAGAAAATCCCTCTTCTCGGTCCGAGGCATGACCACTGTTGCTTCCCATCCCAATTACCCCTTTTCGATCCTGTGTGAACACGTTCTCTTTAGTCACTCCTGATTTTATTTCGATCGCCGCGTGATCCCTCCTGTTAATCATTGTCTATGATTGTTTGATGTCGGATTCTTGTGTCAAATGACCTTGTGTGTCTACCTATCGATCCCACCCGTGTCATTGTCCTGTGCACTAACGTAGCTTTGGTGTGTCGTTACCCCGGACCATAACCGCCCCAGTCCCTCCCTATATGCCCCGTCACTAGCCCTATGGCGTCATTCGTTGTCTTGCTCTTTGCGAGCGCATACCTGACTTCGATCACTGGCTGTTCACGTTTGGTGAACAAAATTTATCCCCGTGGCCAACAGATCATTGTCGACCTGTTTGAATTTATCTTGGCTGTTCACGTTGAGTGAACAGAATCCCTTGCTTGACCTAACAGGTATTAATGTTCCTTCTTTGTATATTTATTTCCTTGTCTTTATATCAGGTCTCCACCCATTTGTTTGAACTCAACTTTTGGCTGTACAGCGACTGATTCGCATTGTTGAGGTACGATGTTCTTTGACCCGCCAGATGAAATAAACAGTACCGAACGCATTGGTGATCAATATCGTTCTGACTTCGGGGTTCGCATTTCGTTACGCGTTGCTCAACGGTCTCATTGACGCTATACAGAAAGATCATAGAATAGTCAATTAAACTCGCGCAACGGTCGAGCCAGAACCAGTCGTTTTGGAAATTGCAACCATGTGTGATCGCCCAAATAGATCCTTGAGAATCGTGCATGCACTACCGTACCCAACCGTGTGTGCAGGTCAGATCAGTTCAGGTTGCACAGGACTGAGTATGACCACAGCCAATCGAGCGTCCAGAATTCCTCCGATGGTATGCTCACAACGTGGGCACCCAGCTCTGCCGAAATGAAAATGAGAAATAGGATCTCATCTTACCAAGTTGGCGAGTGAATTATTAGACGTGAGCATTCCATGCATGTACCAGTAAAAAGGGAAAAGGC